GCCTACAAACAAAACCCTGTAACTGCAACTTGAGAGCTTTGATACCAATTATCACAGGGACGAATTCTTGGTAAAATAGTTAGTCAAATTTTCGCCTATGATGGCACTGAGGTTCCACTCAGTCAGCCCATTAATTTGCACAATGCACACAAAGAAAGATAAATGTAGCAATGTAAAGGAACACAGAATTTATGGGTAAACATCCAACTTGTTTATTACTCCATAATAATACAAAAACATGAAGGAACACTGAAGGAACACCACACCGTCTCTCTCTGTCTCATCAGTCCAAATCTTTAATTTTTTTTATCGAGGTAGGATGGTTTGTTTCCCTATACTTTTATATTCGGCAATTTATGCATGAATTGCCAGTGAGCTTTCGAGTTCTTTATTAAGAAAGAAGAGATCATACGGGAATTTAAAATGACGTAAAACGGGTGTGTCGCTTGGTCATCTATATATTCCATAAGAGAATAGTGGTATGAAGTGTTTATTCTATTATATATAATTATGTATGAAAACTCCAAGTATCTTGCTGGGTATTTTTAAATACCCGCTCTTACAAAATTTAACAGGTTAGTTCGGGTCGATTGGAACAGTGGGGGATGGTGAATGCGACTGCCAAGAGAAAATCGAAGAGAAAACATTAAATTTATTTTTTTCCTTTAAATTATTATTAGTTTAATTTGTTCAAAGATAGTTATTTAATTTGTGATTATGTTTTCATTATTGATATTCCAGTTAGTTATTTAAAGAATATTATTTTATCGTTTCAAAGAAAATAGAATTTTTGATAACACTCCAGTGTTTGTGAAATTTTAGAGCGCTACAATTTCACACTCAAGGGTACGGAATCGAGCATTTGTGTTATTAGCAAGATCCAACAGATTTTCATGAACGGCGATTGTCTTTCTTCTACCTCGCGGCATACTCTTCGAACTGAGCCCTCAATTTTGTGTGCACATCAGTATGTGCATGGATTTGTGCAGCCATACTGCTTGCATTGTCGGTCATAAGAGTACCAACAAAATTCTCCAATGCAGCTACCTGATCCTTATCAAGATCCAACAGATTTTCATGAACGGCGAGTGTCTTTCTTCTACCTCGCGGCATACTCTTCGAACTGAGCCCTCAATTTTGTGTGCACAGCAGTATGTGCATGGATTTGTGCAGCCAAACTGACTGCATTGTCGGTCATAGGAGTACCAACAAAATTCTCCAACACAACAACCTGATCCTTAAGATTCTGACTTGCAGTGATGCCTACAAACAAAACCCTGTAACTACAACTTGAGAGCTTTGATACCAATTATCACGGGGACGAATTCTTGGTAAAATAGTTAGTCAAATTTTCGCCTATGATGGCATGAGGTTCCACTCAGTCAGCCCATGAATTTGCACAATGCACACAAAGAAAAATAAATGTAGCAATGTAAAGGAACACAGAATTTATGGGTAAACATCCAACTTGTTTATTACTCCATAATAATACAAAAACATGAAGGAACACTGAAGGAACACCACACCGTCTCTCTCTGTCTCATCAGTCCAAATCTTTAATTTTTTTTATCGAGGTAGGATGGTTTGTTTCCCTATACTTTTATATTCGGCAATTTATGCATGAATTGCCAGTGAGCTTTCGAGTTCTTTATTAAGAAAGAAGAGATCCTACGGGAATTTAAAATGACGTAAAACGGGTGTGTCGCTTGGTTATCGATATATTTCATAAGAGAATAGTGGTATGAAGTGTTTATTTTATTATATATAATTATGTATGAAAACTCCAAGTATCTTGCTGGGTATTTTTAAATACCCGCTCTTACAAAATTTAACAGGTTAGTTCGGGTCGATTGGAACAGTGGGGGATGGTGAATGCGACTGCCAAGAGAAAATCGAAGAGAAAACATTAAATTTATTTTTTTCCTTTAAATTATTATTAGTTTAATTTGTTCAAAGATAGTTATTTAATTTGTGATTATGTTTTCATTATTGATATTCCAGTTAGTTATTTAAAGAATATTATTTTATCGTTTCAAAGAAAATAGAATTTTTGATAACACTCCAGTGTTTGTGAAATTTTAGAGCGTTACAATTTCACGCTCAAGGGTATGGAATCGAGCATTTGTGTTATTAGCAAGATCCAACAGATTTTCATGAACGGCGATTGTCTTTCTTTTACCTCGCGACATACTCTTCGAACTGAGCCCCCAATTTTGTGTGCACATCAGTATGTGCATGGATTTGTGCAGCCATACTGATTGCATTGTCGGTCATAAGAGTACCAACAAAATTCTCCAATGCAGCAACCTGATCCTTAAGATTCTGACTTGCAGTGATGCCTACAAACAAAACCCAGTAACTGCAACTTGAGAGCTTTGATACCAATTGTCACAGGGATGAATTCTTGGTAAAATAGTTAGTCAAATTTTCGCCTATGATGGCACTGAGGTTCCACTCAGTCAGCCCATTAATTTGCACAATGCACACAAAGAAAGATAAATGTAGCAATGTAAAGGAACACAGAATTTATGGGTAAACATCCAACTTGTTTATTACTCCATAATAATACAAAAACATGACGGAACACTGAAGGAACACCACACCGTCTCTCTCTGTCTCATCAGTCCAAACCTTTAAATATATAGAGCCAAAATTTGTATGCAGTTAACACTTTTAACTGCCAAAGGGATAAACCCACTCACTGTGACTAAAACTGCCAAAAAATTGCCTCCCAATACATTTTCCAACAACTATCCATACTTTCCACCACCACGAAAACTGCCCAACACGTGTCAAACGTGTGCTTGATTTGGATATCCGAATTTGTGGACTAGAGCACACTGAACAGCAAGTTGGATCCGTCCATACCTTGCCAATTTCTGTCAATCCGCAACACTTTGACACCAGCCAAATTAAAGCATCACGTCCACAAATTGAAACCCACATTTTCCTTACTCTGAAATTCGAAGTGTGCACCATCAACGATCTGCAAAATTCCAACATGAAGGCGAGACGTGTTCATGCCATTGCACATGTCAACCTTTAAGAGGCGACACTAAGCGTATATATGGTTACATTAAAAGGCTAGTTATTTCGTCGGTGGATGAGCAAAATGTCAACAAAAAAAGAATAGAATACTAATATTAATATAAAACAAGTAAATTTCAAGAGAGTGAATTTAATTAATAAATTTTAAATACTGAGTTGATTTTAGTTATAAACTGTCAAAATATTTAGCAAATTCTGACTACTGAACTCAATTTAATATTAATCGGGCAATTTAATAAATGTTTATTATCTTTATAAACCTAAAGTTTAGTATCGTATTATCCTTAAAAAGAATATATATTTTTTAAATAGTAAATCATCATACGGAAAAGTTAGATAATAATAATAATAATAATAATAATAATAATAATAATAATAATAATAATAATGAAATGAAATAATATACTAGAAAATTATAATTACTTTAATTAATGTAAAATTTTAGTGTGATAATTTAAATATTTAGACTATATTCTATTAATTTATCGCATAGTACTTTTGCTCCACTTGAAAATTAAGGTGGTGTTCTCGTTGACTGTTTTGTGTCGTTTTCAATTTCGATTTTTCAAAACAATGAAAGCACGTTTTTGAAAACGATAAAAAATTTGTATATAAAACACAAAACGATAAAAACATCGTTTTAACCGTTTTCAAGCAAAAACAGGGAAAAATTGCAAAACAAGGGAAATTGTCATTTTTAATCTAATAACACCTCCACTTCCACAATTTCAATCCTTTCCCTCTGGCTGGTTGTTCTCTCTTGACCACCACTACATCACTGGAACCCAACTACCACTATACCACCTGTCCACCACCACCAAAATCGCCGACGGAAACCACCACTGCTACAACCAAAATCACGACCCAACTATCGAAAAATTGCCACCAGAAATATCCTCATCGAAACGCCAAAATCGCCACCAGAAAGACCACCACCGCCCAACCAAAATGGTGACCCACCACGGCAAAATCGCCACAAGAATAGCCACCCAACCACAGCCAAAATCGAGACACAACAGCAGCCAAAATCGTGATCCAACCTCCACAGCCAATACCCCAACCGCCACAGCCAAATAATCGCGACCCAACCGCCACCATAGCCACCACAGCAGTGTCGCGACCCAACCACAACCAAAATCGCGAGAGAGGCACGAGAGAGAGCGAGAGAGAGAGGCACAGTGAAGTGAGGAATGGAAAGAGAATGTGTTTTACATTTTCTAATTTTTGAAAACCATTTTTCAAAATATCAAAAAGAACACGTTTTCAAAAATCTCAAAATGGACACTCAAAACACAAAACTCAAAATGAATTCAAAACTCAAAACTGAAATACAAAGAGAACAGCCCCTAAGCATGTCCGATTTTGCTTAAAAATTACTTTTAATATAACATCAAATTTATTTTCTTGTTTAAAACATAGACCGCTACCATCTCTCTCCACTCTAAAACTAGTGTTACAAGCCACTCGCCAAACAAACTTAAGCAAATCCAACTAAAGAGGTAACAAAACAACGTATTTTCTTAGGAACAATATGCAGAAACGAGGACACTTGTCATTCAATAATTTTATAGACCTCTCAATGTTTGTTTTTCACAATAAGTTCCTCTCTGTCAATCAAGAAAAAAGAGATTTTCAAATTTGTCATAAAGAAAAAGGGATAAAGTGGGAAATAAATATTTACTTTGTTTGCAATAGGAATTAGTGTAATAATCAGATACCAAGAAAAATCTAAATTATGCTCCATTAATTGCAGGAAGTGAAATTTAACAAGAACTACCCACGTTTCTGGAAGAAAAATCTAAATTAGCATCGACATGGCAGAAACATTCCGAGCTTTAGGGTTCTTTCATATGGGCACATTTTTATTTCAGCAATCAAGTACAGTAACCACTGATTCCACACTTAAAATCAATGGCAACATAAATACAGGCAACACAAGAGTACCCGGTCACTTATGTTGTTTCAGTGAACTTGTAGGATGCATAAGAAAGTGTGGAATTAGTCCAGCTATTGTGGATAAGTTCAGCTTTTGCATTTTCATCAGCAGCACCAATTGCTACATGTAACGGATAGAAATGTTCGGGCCTTGGATGTGCAAGTTTCGCAAATGGTGCCTTCTCTTCGTAGTTGTTAACATCTTCATACCTATAACAAGATAGCCATCAGTACACCAGATCAGAAAGATAACTACCTTGACATAAATATTGTGCAAGCATATAACCAACATAAGATCTCAGATAACATTGAAAAAGAAAACAAGAAATGAAATAGGCGCTCCATGACATCATATCCAGCAACCAAGGAAAATTGCCAAAGTTTTAACATGCTGTAAACATATTTTTTATGATAGGAATGTACAATGATTGCAAGTTCACAGAGTTGTGCTACCTAAAAGCTGAACTAGGCTTCTAATTTAAATTCAGTGTAGATGAAACATAGGCAAGGAATCATCAACCTCTTGTCTTAACCATATAGATTATACAGAAATTTTACTACTTTTCTTTTTGCAAGTTTTTGGAAAACAGAAAAATGGATTCTCAAAGCATAAATGAAAATTATTACTGAAATAGAATAGAAAGGAAGGAGGCTGAAGTGAAATAAATTTTGGTCTTCAAATAAAAGCCAGGATGGATAAAGTGATTGCATAGCAATGAGAGCTGCGATGGTCTACAAAACAGCATTTCTTTAAAGCAGGCAAAAAATGGATCTCTATTCAGACACAGCAAGAAAAATATACTTCAAAACTTGACACCACAAAAATTTAGGCAATTCAAAAGTTAGATTCAACACCCAAAGCATCATTGGTAGGATCTTCACAGACATAGGCCAGCCACCTTACCAATAAATTGGAAATTTTACTGCAAAACACCCACCAGAGAGCCTGTTATCAAAGTACAGTCAATTTGAATTACATATTTTGCTATCTTGTTCCAATTTGGTCCATAAAATGCTTCCAACCAAGACCATCTTTTTTGACTGACAATTTGCAATCATATAAAGCTTTAACCATATCCTACTTGTATTTAGTTGGCTACCAAATGGCTTACACAAGCAAGAAAGATAGGGAACGCAAGTGATGGTTAATGTTCTGAAAAAAGCAACATAAAAAGTGCACCATATATAAGCATATCGTTATTTCCATGTATTGAAGTGCAAGCATATAGATATTCTAATGGATTTTACTTATTGAACCTGCCAGTAAGAAGAGATTCTTTGAGCCAATTATCAAACTCTAAAGCCCATGAAGCAACAGTATCATTGGTGCCTTGCATGGTCCTTAGGTTATGAGTGGCAGAACCAGAACCAATTATGAGGACACCTTCTTTCTTTAGGGAAGCCAATGCCCTTCCTAAGTTATAATGGTGATTAGCATCCATATTTGTCTGTACAGAGAGCTGGCACACGGGGATGTCAGCCTCTGGATACATAAGCATAAGAGGGACCCATGCGCCATGGTCCAAACCACGCTTTTTATCCTCATGCACCCGTTTGAAGCCAGCTTCCTCCAGCAGTTTCTTCACCTTCTTTGCCAATTCTGGAGCTCCAGGTGCTGGATACTTGAGCTATTGGAGAGAAAGTGAGAAGTTAGAGAAAGCATGAGAACTGAATTGCACAAGAAGTAAATCATAGAAGTTTACATCAAAAAAAATCGTTGTATGGTAATAAATATGCACCTCCTAAAACACTACAAAGATCATACCTAAAAGTGAAAAAATAAAATAAAAATGAAGCATCCTAAAGATTGCCCGTGTTTGTAAAAATTCATGCCTCAATTGATGGCAACAATATCATCATTGCTATTCACTTGGAAGGACAAGTGTAAGCATAGCATTTGATCCATGTGATACTAGTAAGACCCCATTATATATTGTCGTTTGACAGGAGCCACACCATGCGTAACGTGAACTGATCCCATTGACGGAATACTTAAAAGAGATGTTTGAAGTCATCTTTAACTACTATTCAAGATCACAACCTCACCTTCAAGCAAGTTCATCGAGGGAATGTTTAAGACACGTGGGAATTCATCTTTGATCACTATCCATGATCACAACCTCAAATTCATGCAAGTTCTAACAGATCAGTAGCCGAGGTGGAGTATCTCATAGACATGAATCACACAGGGAATGAGATGACATGTACTAACAGCTACTTTGGTGCAGTACAGAATCCCTATATTTTCTCTGTATTTATACGGATCGAAGGACAGGTGCTCATTCCGTACAAAACATAATATGTAACACATCGCATAAAGCAATCCTATAAGGAGGGCCTCATCCATTTCTAGAGAATTAAACATTCAGCTATTAACTTCTATTCAGTTTTTATATTTCTTATATACTTTTCCCTTCAACTGATTATTAGGCCAGAGTGGGATCCAGGGAGAATTCCCCATAACTCCCGCGATTCCTGCACCACATTGTTGTCCCTATGCATCCCCCAACACTACAATCTAGTGCCTGCTTAGCGAAGCTTAAAACTATATTATTATTTTTTCCATAAAAGTGAAAGTTACTTAAAAAGTAACTTTAGATTACTTTCAAGCTTAGCCAAATATACTACAAGCCCCCAATTTGGAAGTTATTTTGCGTAGCTCGAACTTGTTTTCATCTTCCTCATTCTTCAAATTCCAGATCTCAAAACTTATTAATCAACTTCGTAGGTAAGACAATAGAAATTCAAACTAGTAAGGGATGTGCTCAACTTAGATTTTTTTTTTTTTTATGGATTTTAAAAGATTATAAATTCGAATGAATTTTGTGAATTTGAATAGATTTTCACAAAATTAACGAGAATCTCTTTAAAATTGGTAAAATTTCGAGATAGTTTGTTATATGTATTTTTAAGCTTGAAATTCATCTAAATCTTATAAAATCCTTGATCTTTATAAATTTATGAGTTACTGACTACACCTAAATTTTAAAGTATTTGATTGAAATTCACTAAAATCTCAATTGGCAACACCTGAATTTTTAAAATTCATTAAAATTTACACGAATTTATAAATTCAAATCACGTCTTTTTTAATGTTCACAACCCACAGCTTTATGGCCTTGAAAATAAATCTAACATAAAAGAAGATTATGTAGGTTACCTGATACATGGGCTTGGGGAAGCCATAGAAATCGTGGATGGTTTCATTTGGGCCATTAATGACATTGACGGAGGGCTCAGAGGTCTCCCAGTGAGCCGAAATGACCAGAATGCAATTAGGCTTCTCAGGAAATACCTTCTGCCTGAAGGACAAGAGGAAGGGGCGTGCCGGCAATGAATCATCGATGGAAAGAGTCGGAGAACCATGTGAGATGTAAAAAGTTTCTTTCAAAGCCCCCATCTTCAACGACATCGTTATTCCAGACAGAGTCGATTTTATATAGCAAATCGGTGTACACCTAACACGCTTCTCAATATCTTTCAATAATCAAGATTTTATATAATAGTGTTTAATGTATATAGACGCAAACAAACGCACAGATGCATACACGCAATTGGAGAGAGAGAGAGAGAGAGAGAGAGAGAGTCAGACTGGGGCATGAATAGTGGGGGAGACATTAGTTTGCTTGATTGCGTAAACATCTTGACATGTTTCACTTTTATGTCTAATATTTTACGTCTGTAGATAATTAATCTACGTTTGGAAAGTGTTCACTCCCCACATGCAACTGTTCTATGATCAAAGCTTGCGCTTCGAGAATAAGTACAGCATCTTTAAGATATTTTTTTAAATATAAAATATCCAATATTTTAAAAAGTTAATATACAAAATTATGTTAAAAAAAATTCTTTAAATTAATGTTTTAATTTAGAGAGTGAGTTGTATATTCAAAATATTTCAATTTTCAATAGAAAAAAATAATATAATAATTTAGAGGAAGCTAGAAAGAAATAAAAGATAAGAAAAATAATAAATATTTTTTATAGAAATATAAAAAGCATGTTGGAGTACTTAAAAAATTATACTCTCTAAATTATTGATTTCTCCAAATTGTAGAATATGTTTTCTAAAAATAGATATTATCGCAGAGATGTTCTAAATACTACTATATATAAATATTCTTAGTTAAATCACTATTTACTAAAGTTACTTTTGTTAATAACTCCGCATATTTTTTTCCACTTTAAACCACACAATTTATGAAACACCACGTTCTTTTATTAAATTTAGCTGATAAAAATCTACGGCAAATGGACACAATGTTCTAAGTCTTTGATTTACTTAATGCGTTTGTCTTTTAGTTAGTGTATACAATGTATAAAGGCTTCTTTTAGGAGGGCATGATGTTGTCCTCGATTTCTGATTGGTGACGTAATCAACATATCCCCTTTTCACTCATGTTCACAAATAAGGCTCATACACACTTGGACAAATCATTATAAGTATGTGGCCTTCTTCGATGATGAGGGAGGTGACCACAAGCACTCCATTGTTAAATCAATCAATTTGTATATATATTTGGGTGTAGAATGAACAAAAGACTAAATCACAATTTTGTATACGGGCACCGGATTGTAGAGAGAACAAGAGTGGGCAATATTCTTGTTGAGTATATAAAATTGTATTACGTTTAAATGTTACTAAAAAAAACTCACAGATTGAAGAATTTAAAGGTCGAATATAAGAACAGTCAGATGAAATAACAAAGGAAAATTTAGATATTAAACAAAGACATGAAACATATCATGCAATTTATTCAACATATGAAGTAAACAAGAACTTAAAAACATATAGATCTATATATTTCACAAAATAGTTAAGAAAAAACTTCTTTAAATGAAAAAATGATTAGGGTTTGAGATATCAAACCAGAGTAGTGGTCGACTAATTGCCACCATAAAATCAAACTAGAAGTGGCCATTAATGAAAGATATCAACATATTGTGTCACCTTAGATTACGAATCAACAAGAAAGTCACATATACGTTCCAGATTTACCAGATATAGGGTTTTTAGCCCTTAGTCTTTCATGATCCACCATAAATGTACAACAACATCTTATCTGATGCCACCGTTATACTATAATCTAACCAAAAGTATAGTAAAACCAAAATATGACATAAAGTTCACAAGAAAAACACATATCCCCTTTTTATTAATTTCTGAATACACTTCCAAAGGCATTAAAGTGAAGTGAACGACAACTAAGGCTCGGACTTGAAAATGTACCCTTCTGTATGGCCAAAGAAATCCAAACCCAGACCTAAATGAGTGATTTAGGGTCTAGGTTTGGATATCTTTGAGCCACAAGGATCGTACAACTCACACTCTCTTACAACACACTATGTATAAAGATTTCACGAAGTTAACCAAAAGCATCAACTTCCCATCAGAGGTTTGGAAGAAGAACACGAAGAGAGGAGAAGAATAATATGGAAACCAAACTCAAATTGCAAAAATGGTGTTCCTCTCGTAAGAGTTTCCCCAAGCAAACATACAATGACAGTACAGGGTTGTAATTGATTAACCCAGCACGTGCACTTTCAAAACTTGGATCGTAACTTCATAAAAAATTGATCAAGCTGGCTCTCAAAATAGACATGGTGTAAAGCCACTAATGCATCTTTAGGAACTTTAGACTGCACCAACCCACAACAATCACTCTATAAATTAAGAAAACTCAAATAAAATTGTTCAATCGACAAATTCCCTAGTTCATAATTTCCAATATCCAACTCCAATTGAAATTTTCAAGTAGAATTATCTTGATAATAAATTCGTCGAAGGTAAATTCCACATCTCTTTAGCGATCGTGAACGAATGGAGATTATTGACTATATGTGATTCAATAGAACTCTGTAGCCAATAAATAATTCGAGCATCCTTGCTCTTGCATGAGCTAAGCTCATTGGGATCCCCAGGAGCTTAAAACGAGCCATCCGTATGGCCCACAATTCCTTACTTTTAACAAATATCTTGAATTGAAATTCCCAAGTGAAATAATTCTTATCACTAAAACAAAAAATTGAATTTTCTCCTGACATGATAACTCCAAATATTAATAATCACACCCAACAATAGCCCAGGTAATGACCCAACGATAGCCCAACTAAAATTAATGTTACCAGATTTACACAACTCAATTCAATAACCCAATGCCTAATGAAGTAGCCCAAATTAGACACTAGATTCACGATAAAATGCAATCAATTGCCCGACGTCCAAATCAATCGTTGACTTCAAGATTGTAAATCTCGACAGAAAAAGCAAAAATCGTCAGTAGCCTAAGGAAGAAAGATATTCGATAGCTCAAGAACACTAATAGCCAGATAGAGTGACAATTTCTGCGATCAGGTTTTCCAACCAGATGTCAATAGCCCAAAGTTAAAAATGAACCGAAACTCTACAAACAGATTTCATGAGATGGAATCCAGATCAGAAACGTTGAACAAATGAAAACCCAAAAGAAATATTTGCAGCACCAATAACTAAACAAGGTTAGGCCTTAAACCAAATATAGGTGCCACCGGATCAGAAATTGATCCTCGATGACTTGAAATACAAAAATATAAAATGATTTTTCCAATGTCGATTTGAAGGGAAAGACTTTGAAGGATTATCTTTGGCGTGCAGCCAGTCCACGAATATTTCTAATTACAAACACTAGATACAGCAAATTTACCAAGTAGATGAAGAGGCTTTCAAATGGTTGATGGATAGGCCTCCTCAAGAATGGTCGAAGTCACATTTCAAAGTGCATTCGAAATGCAAGATTATGTTGAACAATGTTTGAGAAGTGTTCAACAAGACACTTTTGGAAGATCGTGAAAAATGATTCTCAACATGCTTACATCTATGTTGTTGAGCTTTATGAAAAGAATACAAATGCGAATGGATAAGATGATTACGTATATCGATCGACTTTGCACAAAGATTTGAAAGAAAATATGGAGGCTAGTTGAAACATCAAGGAGCGTATCTACACTTGTCCAGGGGTTCGAAATGGAAGGTTGAGTGCAGTTCCGGTTCATTTGTGGTGGAACTTGAGATCTTGTGCATATAGGAGGTGGGAGTTAATTGTGATACCACATCTGCCTATAATGGTAGTAATATAGGAGTGTCGAATGAACCAGAGGACTATATTGATAATTGCTACACAATAGAGACATACTTGAATTCCTACATAGTATCCTAAACCATATCAACGGGCAACAACTATGGTTGAAGTTAAATGCAGGACTGATGAACCCACCAAACTAGAAGGTGCCTAAAAAGTGGCAGGGACAAAAAAAGAAAAAGGGGAATGCGGAGGAAGTAGTAGCAGTAGCGCACACTCAAATGAAGTTTTATGTGAGGAAAAAGGGACAGTGAGCATGACGTGGTCCATTTGTCATGTGCATGGACACAACAAAAGTCACCATTCAACTATACCTACCGTCTTCGACGTGAGATCTTTGCATTTACTTTGATATCTCAAATTCCCGAAAACTAACAGTTTCTAACTTTTTCACTATATGATCTATTTGATGCCCTGTAAGGAGGCAGAATCACAACCAACAAATGTGTCCACCGCAAGTGTAAGTTGCAAGTGTCATATAAATATGTCTAATTTTGATTTTTTATACTCCTTAAAGAAAGTTATCTGGAAGAAGGAAAAATCGTCCATTGACGAGTCGGGCAACAAGTGCAGACGCTTCAGAGGACAGAAATGTGGATCTGTGGGCAAGTCATTTGGATGATATGGTGGACAGCTTTGAAGAGATACAAGCTACTGAGTCATCACAGTTATGGACTATTGAGTGTACGGCCGATGCCATGTGACGACGAATACAGTCACATCTCGCCAACAAAGTTAATTGAAGGGTGCTCTTGGACAAATCTGTTTGCCTACTTGACAATGGATGGGTGTACCATTTTTTGATTTGCTTTTAGAGTAGTTAACTTAGAACTTTTTTGTTACAAAAAATCAACTATTTCACAATCTTTTTGATCCATGTAACTAACTGCTATGTTTGCATCTATATTGTTAGCCTTTGTAATGTTTTGGAAGTTGTATATGGAACTGCTATGTTACTATCTATGAAATTCCATGATTTTTTTTTTTTTTGTTAAAAGTGTGAGCTAATTTTGGTTTGGTTTGGAATATTTTAATTTTCGTTTAGAAGCTTTTGGTTTGGTTTGGAAGATTTTGATTTTTCCATGCTATGAACTGTTGTGGTTTGCTTTTGGTTTGTCCTACTCTGCTAAAGATGACATAAGTAGAAGACTAGGATGCTCTTTAAGAGGAGTTATTCATAATATCCCCAACTTGACATGTTTAATCAGTTATCGTCCATAAATGAATGTGGCATGTACAATCAGAGATTGCAAAATGAATGTACATTACGTCATTAGCATAATTCATTTCAATC